TGCTTTGTGGTCGGTGGAGGCTGAGATGAGACGAACGCAGGGGGACAGTGGACATCTTTGGCATCACCCCGGCTGCGAAGAGACGGGCAGGTGGAGAGGGGGCCCACATCCCACTCCGTGCACCAGGGCCCATGCCACACACACACACTACGCCACTGGTTTTTGTTTAATTTTTATGAATCTTGGTGCCATCCCTGTCAAGCTCTTTCTAACGGTTCAATTCATCCAGTGCGGTGTCTCTCATGAGTATTCAAGTTAAAGTCCCGGTGGCTGTGAGGGATCCAGGCTATGGCACTACAGCAGTGGATTCCTGAATCTATCTGTGTGTTTAATGGAATTGGGCAATGCATTGCATTGTAAGGGCCATCCAGACAATGAGTATTCTGACTCAATCATGCTCTCGTGGGTAAATAGAAGTATTTATTTAAAAAATATTACCATTTAAAAAAAAAATCTCTGCTCGAATGAGAAGTGGGGCAGCATTAAACACCACTGGTGAGCCAGTGGGGACCAGTCTCCTCAGAGACTGTTGACCTCCCAAAACAGTGATACTCATCTTATTGGTGCCGTAGGGATGATGGTGCATGTCAACCCCCACAAAATGGGATTTTGAACTCGCAAAAAAATTGACTGCTCTAACAGAAGCATCTTTTACGCGGATCGGTAATCTTTGTTCACAACAATCTCGCAGTCTTACCACTGCATTGTTATTATCACATGACTGACATAACATCCTCATGCCGTCAGATTCTCAACTTTTGAGATTTGCTTTTCCTCCTTCCTTGGAATTGCCGAGCAGACTGACAGCTGCTTATGAGATTATTTCACCACCTGCTTATAATACCCCGGCCGGTCAGAGGCGCCGCTCAAGCATTTAAACCACGTGCTCGAGAAGATCACTGCAGCCTCAGCCGGCCAGGGCACGAAGCTGTTGGCACCGTCACTCTCCCCCCTCTCCTTCCCCTCTCTCCCCTCTCTCATCTCTATATTACCTTGCCATCTCTCTCATCTGCTCCCCCCCCCCTATTCACCTCCTCTCTCCTTAATTTCTCTTCTCCCTATTTCTCTCTCCCTCTTCTCTTTATCTCATTCCATCCTCCCTCTCCTCTCTCTTATCACTCTCTCTATACCCCCTCTCCATCATCTCCCCCCCTCCTCTCTCCCTAACTCTTTTCATTCTATCATTATCTCTCCTCTCTCTTCCCTCAACCACAACCACTCTCTCTCCCCCCTCTCTCTTTTTCCTTTCATCTCCCTCTCTCTTCCCCTCTCCCTCCCAGGGACCGTATCGCTGTTTATATTCATCGGACACAATCTGTGTGTCCCAAGCGTGTGTTTATTCGAGTGATATCACGGGCTGCGGGGAAGACAACTTCAACCGCGTGCCCTTCCATGCACCGGCAGGGTCTTCGCAAACAAGCCAGAGAGATTCATATCGTCCCCGATCGTACAACTCTGAAATATTATCCGTCCGAAATTACGGCCGTCTTTGGGGACTGTAAAACACAAAAAAGAGCCACGGAATGGAAAAAAAATCTAGGCGTTGAAATTTTTGTGCGGAATTCCATTTATTTATTTTCCTACCCGTTGTTTTGTTTAGAGGATCGTAACTAAAAGAATAATATTCCATCGGGCTGCTTTGGCAGGGACTCAAAATCCACAAACAGGCAGTTCCCCGGACGCCCAACTATTGTGTGCGGGCAGTGACGGGATCGTAGCAGTGAGTTACTCCTCTCGATGGGTGCAGGAATGTCCATTCCTCTCCTCCCTCCATCTCTCACGAGCCTTCCCTGGAATCTCTCTGGTGCCACATTTCACAGGGTGTGGCCTGGGCAATACTTTTTTTGTCATCTACAGTCAAGAGCTCCACATGCATTTGCATCTGCCGGGGAAAAAAAAAGTCCTGTTGCAAAACCTCACGCTTACTGCATATCTGTGTAACATTTGTAGCATCGTGTTACAGATTGATTGCAGATTACTGCCTGGGGTGTGGCAGTCGAGTGGTGGTTAGCGAACTGCACTTTGAACCTGGAAACCTGAGTTCAATTCCTGGCCATGGATAGCATCGGTGTCGAGTGATTTCCAAACCGTTACTAGTCCCCCATTCACCAGCCCGCACAGTGCAGAATGGTGAAGTATGGTCACACAACACCCAGAACTTACACAGCATGGGGTGGTGCTCATCCAGCAGTTGATTGACAAAGTGGCTGCAAATGATGATCATTATTAGGCATTCGGAAAATTATGCAGTGATGTATTTAATTTTCCAAACGGGTCTCTGCTGGAAACATAGTACTGTTTTACGACTACTCTCACGGGGTATGAGAGTTCTGCCTGTGACTAGATTAGCCCTTGATTTTTCACCTGGTTCAACAAAATAGGCCTGCAGCTCTCTGCGAATCGCGTTGCAAAAATCAAGAATTTGTCTGCCTGTCTCGTGTGTGAGATGTCTCACTGTCTGACCACCGTCTTGAGATGCAGCTGCACTCTAGGCACTACGCGTGCTTCAATGTTCGACTGCCCGTGACCAAATCGCCCGCAATGCGCCCAATCTCATCGGATCTCACAATCCAAGCGGGATTTGAGCCTGGAGAGCGCTTGGAAGGGTGGCCACTGAGCGGGCCTTGATGGCAGGCAGCAGAAGGCAACGTAGGAAAATCACACAATCGTTGTAGTGTTCTTCTATGCGCCCATATCCCTAACTGACCAGGGTGGTGAAGTATGGTCAAATATCGTCCACGACCCCCACGGAATGACGAAGGGTGCCGGACTTTTTGGAGCTGAGTGAGCTGTAAGGTGAGAAGACGAGAGTGTGAGCTTGAGTCAGAGTGGGCGCTACGACGACTCGAGTCAAATTCCCGCTCATGACCAACACTAGCGATTATCTGGACTGGTTGAGCCTCCTGTAGGTTGACTCAGCCTCAAATGACGTGCGTAAACATCGCCACTGGGGAGACAAAGACGGTCACGTTGTGTGCCGTGCCGGCCTTCGTAGGCGCTCACTAGCTAGCAGCGCGACGGGGGATCTTTGTGTTCGTGAGTCGGCGTGCGGCATTCCGCACACTCGAAGCGTGGTTGTGCAGGTGGAATCTGGTCGTTGGGTCAGTGAATGCGCCTGCCCTGTACACGTGCGTGCCATCTGAGTGTTCTGTGCGTTGTGTCGCACCCTGTTCTGTCCACACGTTCTCGAAGAAGGTTGGTACGAGACACGCGCCGCTGGCATTCCGCTCCCTCTCCGCGGACTCTTCAGTGTCACCGGCTCGCGTTGCTGCACCCCCAACAGCACATACTCCTCTTCGTCATCGTCGTCGTCGGTCATGCTCACTCCACTGCTGGGTGAAGGCCTCCCCACATCATCATCATCATTATCATCCCTACGCCTTTATCTATCTCTGTGCTCCATCCCCGTGGTGGTCTTCCTGTTGGGTGTTGGCACGTGCAAATGTTCCCTTTGTTGGCCAGTCCCGTCCAACAACCATCACCCCTCTCGTAGCCATCGTGTGCATGGCCAAGCTTCGCTTTTACTCTCGCTAACAGCACGTGCGCTCACGTTTGGCATTTACATTTGTTCCCTGAAACCTGCATTCCTTCCCCCTGTCTCTAAGTAGAATTCCAAGTGTTGCATGCCTCCATGCGTTTTCAGTTGTTGTTGTTGTTGCGTTATTTGTGTCAGCCTCCGTGTTTACTGATCGACGTCACAGCTGGCAAGACGCATCGATTGAAAAGTGTCCACTTCAAGGCGCATTGGTGTTTGTGGCTTTTCCTTAACCAAACTACAATTTGTTTTACCAATAAAGCTTACTATTATCAAGTACGGTAACAAACAAAGAACATAAACGCATGCCTATTCCTGGAATCTCTAATACTTTCCACCATGTGTTCGTCATCGGAAGTCTTTAATTAATTATCGATAGCAACAGTAGCGCTCAGACCATATGCACCGGAAGCTTAGGTACGTCCCGAGGCAGCGATGAACAATGAGTCTCGGATAGCGGCTCTTCCTGGGGAGGGAGCGAGCGCTCACCCTTTGATCAATCTCGGCCGGGTTCCTCAAGGTTAACGTCTCTAATAGCAATACAACTTTTAGTCTGAAGTTGTGTTGCCCAAGGTTGTGTTCATATTGGGACAACTTGGCGAGAGTGTTCGTGAACACTTACCCCACCCGGTCAGAGACGGGTGGACACAGCTGACGCATCAACACCCGCGTTGCATCGCGTTTGGGATCAATCGGACGCAGTGTCACCAAGTTATTCGGTTGAAAAAAAATTCGTGTTGGAAGTCAACACGGTCGATCCCTATGCACGTCAATGGAGGCATCTGTCACGTTGGCTGTGGTGGAGGTGGGCGTGGAGGATGGGTTTTGGTGTTCGTCTTGTCTCCGTGTGTTTACACTATGAGACCTCCTTTACCAGTGGCAAAATATAGTATTAGGTTTTTACCCTTCCAACTTCAAGGACAGTGCATATCATTATCATCATCAGAGTTGTTTCTTTTTGTTTGCATTTTGACTGCTTGTGTTGTGGTTATTGCAAACATGATGCCTTGTATAAAGGTGTCAGTTTTTGTACCAGTTGAAAGGGTAAAAACCTAATACTTGTCTCCGCGTGTTTAATTTTGCTGCTCTACAAAATCGCGTTTCTTCACAGCGTTCAACTCTTGACTTTCATTCCTCGCACCCGAAGCCATTCGCTCTTACGACGTAGTTCTATCCTATCCAGTTCTCTCCCTGCCACGAGGGACGTCTGCTGTCAATCCCCTGGTCTCATCCAGTGGGACTTTTCATGAAAAGCCATGGGGTGCGTTTGCTTGATTTTTTTGCGTGGTGGATGGGAGGTGGGGGGGGCGAGGATTTGACTCGCCGTACAGCACACTGTACTCCTTATTCCCATCTGATCTAAATCATCTGCTGAGCGCAGTCCAAGGGGAAAGCGAGCGCCGCTGTTTGTGCCAAAGTTTACAGAGTTTTTCGACGTAATTCTTTCCAGCGCGTCGCCGTTTATTATAGCAGCGCCCGGCGCTTTGAACGCCTTGCTGCAGAATTGTACGCGGGCAGCAACCGAGACGCACTGAGTTACAATCACGGTGCGAGTGTGTGCTCATCGTTGGTAATCTCGACCAGAGGCAAGTAAGTGTGGCCGAGTCTCCAGACTTTCTTTGCAGGAGGACTCTGCTTGCGATGTTGTTTTTATGTTTTGGTAGCTTTGCACATGGGACGACGTGAGGAACACCCAGAGAAAACGAAGTCGTGCAAGAGGGGTGGTCTCCTCTTGTTCGACTTATTTAGGCAGTCGCTGTATTATATATATAGCAGAGGCCGTGACCTAAAACCTGAACTTATTGTGTATTTTTAAGTTTAAGGTACTGTACTGGTATCGCTGATAACGACCGTGGTAGAGTGTATACAGCCTGCGGTATGTACGTTGAGCGTAGGCCAACCGTGCTAATCGGAGGTGCATGGTGCATAGCTTTACACTTTACCAGATTGTCTCGAAGGTGATAGATAACACGTGTTAGAAATGTCTTAACCCCTCCTGACCCGAACGCGACTAATGTTTTTTGAACGCATCGCTGAGTTGCAGCATTTTTTTACGGCCCGACGTGCACCGTCGGTTTCACGATTAAGACAGCCGCCGCTCGCTAAGCCCGTCGCCTCCTCCGCCGAAGGTTCTCACTCTCCTGAACGGTTTCCCCTGTCGTGTGTCAGGCGCAGGATGAAGAACCGGGCTCCTCCGCCCCCTCCGGGCGTTGCTCCCCTTCGGTCGCCTCGGTCCGCCGAGGCGGACAGGGCCGGAGCGATTCCATCGGACAAGGCGGTGGCGGCGGTGGCGGCGGCGGCGCTGTCTTCGGACAAGAGCGATTCCCCGCCGGCCATCAAGGCGGCAAGCGGGAAGCCGCCCGCCGAGAAGGGCGCGACGCTGCCCGCCACGAAAGCGGGATCTCCGCCGCTGGAACGGGGCGGAACTCTGTCGCTTGCCAAGGGAGGAACGCTGCCTTCGCGGGGGAAGGCGGCCGCCCCCAAGCCTCCGCTGGTGGCGAGGGGCCAGAATGTATCGTGCTGCGAGGTGGAGTTCTCCGTCATCCTGCCGTCGGGACAGCTGCACAGCGCCACGTCTGAGAAGCGGTAGGGAACACCGTGACCCCGTGCACCTTGACCCTGCACTCCGTGAGCCCACACACCTTGACCCCACACACCTTGACCCCACACACCTTGACCCCACACACCTTGACCCCACACACCTTGACCCCACACACCTTGACCCCACACATCGTGACCCCACACACCTTGACCCCACATACCTTGACCCCACACACCATGATCCCACACACCTTCACTCCACACACCTTGACCCCACACACCGTGACCCCACACACCTTGACTCCACACACCATGACCACACACACCGTGACCCCACACAACTTGACCCCGTATATCGTAACCCTGCGCACCATGACCTCATTTTGACCCCGCGCACCCTGACCCTGTACTCACGACCCTTTACATCCTGACCCTGCTGGCTTTCGCGCACGTGCACCTTGAACCCTGTGCGCTCTCACCTCGTGCACAGAAGGTGCGTTCCACAGGGAGAGAAGGGATATTTGATGTCTAACTGGGGACCCTGGCCACGCATCTCGCCTGCCCAGTCCGCATTAGACGCTTGTTCTTCGCACACGGTGTCAACGCTGGCGTTGGAATTGCCTTTTGCGTGTTAGATACGACATCGGGCGGGGTGAGAATTCCCAGCTCAGCCACAGGGGAGCTGTTATTTAGTGTCTCGAGTGGAGTACATTGAGTGGACAGGCGTGGAAGGTGTCATGAATGACAAGGGAATTAGGCCAATCCAGGGCTTAAATTCAGCCAGGTCTGTTCGGGTCAATGACCCATAAAATATGTCCGCACACGGCACACCGCATCCAGTCCACATCTCACTATGTCTGTGGCTACTAGTCATGTGCCACCCACTTCAGTTTATCACCAATCCTGAACATGTTCAGTGAGAAATGAAGCCCTGGGTAAAGTCCCATGGTTATTCTCTCGCAGTTAATTCATGTAATCTTGCTACTTAGTCATTATTATGGGCTGTGGGTAGCAGCGGGCAGTGCAGAAAAATTAATTGTTGTACCGTACTTCTACGCTCCCTTGTCTACGCTCCCTGCCTCAACCAGCCCGCAGCTGACCAGCCCGCACTGCCGGCCTATGTGTAGGATTTTTGATATGATGAGGTAATTTCTTGGTATATTCCAGCTTCCTCCTGCAGGGACACTGTAGAACTCGTTAAAGAAGTGGCCAATAATGCCAACTAAAGAACCCTCACGGAAAAGTTTCCAGAGACTCAGTGAGGCTTTTGCTGGGTAAATAAAGCCCTGCCATTATGTTACATTCGTCCATTGAGGTCTGCGCCTGATCGTTTACTGGGTGATTGGCTCAACCTAATGTCTGGCACGAGTTGTGCGCAGACGCATTCTTGATAGTCTGTGAAACATCGCGCTTTCCGTCGTGATAGGACCGAACAAACAATTTTAATGAACAAGTGAGACACTGCGCAACTGTGCAGCAGAACAAAAATATATCGATTTCATTGGCAGAACTCAAAACCGCTTGCATGGCCTTCGCACCGCAGAGGTCGAAGGCGTTTTGGTGCAAGGTCACCATTGCTAGAGGCTATTTCAAGCTCAGGATTTCTCGTCCCACATAGCAGTTGCATGACTCTCGTCTCAGACTGTTTTGGAAAAGAAAAAAAAAATGATATCCGTGGTGGCCGGTCAATGGCTTCTTGTCACTCAGACAATAATGGACGCAAAACGCCCGCCACTGTAGTGTCCATGTGGCTGTGCACTTCATTTGCCGAGTGCTGAAATTGTATACATAAATCGCGGATATTTGACGCTGCCAAATCGCTCTTCATAGAGCATGGAGAACAACGTTTGTGTGGTGGTGGTGATGGTGGTGGTGATGAGAGAAGCAAATTGCATTCGTGGCACGAGTGGAGCCGTGGGCATCATCTTCCACGGCGCTTCCCCAGCATCGCCTGCCAATGCTGTTCTGTTTCTTCCTCCAGTTCCTTGGCCTTCTGAGCCATTGGGCCACGTGACCATTTCCTTCACCAATACCTCCTTCCTGCGGTCTCTCTCCACTAATCTCTGTCCGTCACTGCGAATTTCAACTGAGCGAGCTCCCATCCCCCCTGAGCACCTTCAAGTGTTCCCTCCGTCGCTGTCCTGTCCAGCCGGTCACCATTCATCCTTGTCACGTGCATGAAATATTGCGGGATGCTGTGGCTGCAGGAAATGTGCAGCTCATTTCTTTGCCTGTGATTTAACTCAAATAACACATTTAGCGAACGCACGCATGTTAAAGACGTCCGGTTAAAGGCATCGTTATGACTGTTAACCCCTTCCCGTTCCGAGATGTCTGCAAGTTGCAGGGTGGGTCCCGTTCGCCGCTGAATCTCGGAACTCTCCAGTGCTTAGCGTAAATTTTATTAGAGAGACATAGCGCCGTTGTTTTTAAAGACCTTGTACTCACCGCAGATAACTGTAGCGACACGACCGCACTCTGTGATAGCTGCCGTCAAGCTGTGCCACACGCCCCTCCCTCATGGCCTTGTCAGAGCCTCAGGACGTCTTCGGACGTGGAGACGTACCAATAAAGTTATGTTATTTTATTTATGATGCTGATGATGCTGCTGCTGATGCAGATGACAAAGATGCTTGTTTTCCCAGGAAAGCCTCATCGAGTCTCAAGGCGATTTATCCAGAGAGTCCTGCCAAGTTTTCGCAGTAGGGGGCGATGATGCTGCTGTGCGTGATCCCAACTGAGTAATTGGCAAGTCCATTATTAGTATTGGGATGTTTGGCCAATAGCAGTTACATTGTATGGGTTTTTTTCTCTGTGGGAAAAAACTCGAGCACCCAGAGGAAACCTATGCAGAATAGACGGAGAACATACAAACAACACACAGAACATACAAACCCCACACACAGAACATACAAACTCCACACACAGAACATACAAACCCCACACACAGAACATACAAACAACACACAGAACATACAAACCCCACACACAGAACATACAAACAACACACAGAACATACAAACTCCACACCTAAAGGCACCTGCGTCGGGAACCAAACCCAGGCCCTTCTAGCTGTGAGGGGCAATGTTACCACGACGCCACCCTGCTTGGCAATGACAGTGATATAGCTATCAAAGATGATGTGACAGGCAATACCAAATGACAAAGAAACGAATGCTCATTGGCTAACATGAAGAAAACGGAATGCCCGTAGACATGTAACGGACAACGCCGTGGGGCTTCGATTCATCCACGTGACCCTTCCCTGTGCGTCGTCTGATGACGCTTGCTCCCACCAGCATCCCCATCATGGACGTGCTGGTGCGCCTGTGCGCGTGGTACCGTCTGAGCCCGGCGCGCCACGCGCTGGAGCTGTACTCGCGCGTGGACGGCCGCCCGCTGCCCTTCAAGCCCAACACGGCCATCGGCAGCCTCCCCGTGGGGGCGGTGCGGCTCGTCGAGCGCGAGCCGCTGGACGCGCGCAGGGCCCACCGCTCCAACGCGCCCGAGGTGAGATCCTGCCCCCCCCGCCACCCCCCTAGGTGAGCCCCCCTTGAATTGAGCCCTTCCCCGAGGTGAGCTCCCCCGCCCCCCCTGAGAGTGAATCCTCCCCAAGCGAGAGCCTCATCGGTGGCCGTGGCGCCGTCGTCTGACGCGACCGCCCCAACATCAGCACCACTCGTCGGCAGTAGCAGCAGAAGCCTCAACATCATCACCAGCAGCATCACCAGCACTGTCATCTGACACGACTGCCACGGCAACCATCAGCCGCAGCATTGTGGTCTTGAGCAGCAGCAGAAGCGTGATTATTATCACAAGTAGAATCATCAGCATTGGCAGAAATAGCAATATCATCATCAGAGAATCATCATCAATAATGTCTCCACCTATCTTAAAAAGGGATAAATGTTCATGAAATGCCGTGGTGTCGGAAGTACACGGACAAACTTTGTAATTTTTCATCCTCGCCTGGGGTGACAGTGGTGGTAGCATTCAGCTTTGGGTATTTGTCAAACCAGTGAGAAACTTTGCTGCTTGCGGCGTGAACGTCATGGTATGGGGCGGCTTCCATCCAGCAGCGGAATGGATGGCCGCAAAGAAGTAACGGTAAATCCCGGACACTCGGCGTGGGATGACGGAGGCGCAAAAGAGTCACGCGTGTCGCGTTCCCTCGCGCGTCGCACATTTCGGAGTCGGTAACAAATTGACAGCCGCTTCCGTTGCGCAGCACGCTGCATGGCAAGAGTTGCACGCGGCGCAGAGGCGTGGGACAGCTTTTGCGGTTCCCCAGTTCAACGCCTAAACACACGTCGAAAAGCACGTACACAGAAAGCAGCTGATAAATAGATGGCGCACTTCTGCTGCGCTCTGGAACGTGGCTCTGGCAGGACATCGCGTTACAGCGCTGGAGCGAAACATTTGGCGTCTCGTTTTTCTCCTGGATGCTTTTTCTCTCTCTCTCAATATTGCCTGCGTCTTTAAGCGTTTGTCTATGCAAGGGAGCATACGATTTTGGATGGATCCGATTAATCGATTTCACCCCGTCTTGGAGGAGGCACGAAATAATTCCCGTTGTGACCGATTGGTTTGCAAAGTCAAAATCAGTCAAAGAGTCTCTCTGCTCGGGTGAGAAGCGGCCCTCATCTACATCACTGAGCCAGTGGTGGAAATTCCACATTCCCATAGCAGGAGCTCTTGTCTGTGTCGGATATTCTCCAGCGTTACGTGAAAAAAATTTTGTAAACTAACATTTTTTTTAATTGGCAGGAAAAATTCCTTTTCCATCTCCATTGGCTTCCACCGGTTTACTGACTAAATAGGGCAGTTTAGGACCATTTCATTATACATTTCAAAATATTACTCGATGAGATAAACCAACTACAAACGAGTTCATTCTTGATGAATGTGCTTGCAGCACTTTCTATTTTAGTTTAAGTCGATGCAGTTAATTTCGTTAATGACGGCATCCCAAATGGTCCCAGTTTGCTGACCACTGGAGCCTCATTTATGGGCCTATAAATACCGCTTTGAACGCTGGGTCACTGTGAGTGAATTCCATCACGCGGTGACTCACGTGGCTAATAACACGCACACACACACACGAGTAACACACACACACGAGTAACGCGCACACACGAGTAACAAACACAAAGTTCCCCCGTGTAGCCTCCACAGGTTGTTGTGAAGAGTGCCGTTAGCGAGCACCTACTAGGCGAGCGCTGCTCACGGTGGAGTGGCCAGGACCTCCTCTGTCTCCCCAGTGATGATGTTTACACGCCACACCAGAGAGACTCATTTAAAGCTGAGTCGACCTAGGGGAGGCCAAGGACGGATTAGCCACGAGCAGAATGAGAAATCGGGGCCCTGAGTTAATTGCGAAATGCGCTAACCACTATGCTACCGTTCCCTTCGTAAGAACACACGCACATTCATTCACGTGCACGTCAGTGACGCGATCTGAGCACATTCCTGGTTTTCTTGGCAAGAAAACAAACGAACCACGCTCTCCGACCCCGGCAGCGAGTACCCGTTATCAACCAGGCATTTAAAGTGCCGTTTTAAATGTCATAAGTAAAAGAGCATGCTGGCGCTTTGAGATACGGCGTCCTGCGCGTCCCGTGGTTGTAGATTAAGCAGGAGCGTCACGAGCAGGAAATATATCCCTCTGCTCCGGGCTGTACCGTCCAGAGATATGTGGCCGTGTTAACTTGATGGCTTGTGAAGGTGAAACGTTTAGCGCTGCTGTGTGGATTTATCTCCAGTCTGGGGCAAACAGAGTCTCTACCTGGACGGCGCAAACACTGAGCCGAATGACTTGGCACCGATGTTTCGTCCTGATGAACAAAAACCTCGTGGCTGTAAAAAAAAAACCAGACGAGGCCTCTACCAGTCTGTGGAAGCCAACAGCTGTTCTTGATGTTCACTTCCACCGCCACAGATGAGCACTGTCCCACAGCAATTTCAAGAATGGTGATAATTTTGACACTCTAACTCGTAACACGGTAACTTGTCACACGCCAACTTGCTACCGCCAACAGTTTTACTCCCCATGTGCATTCCGCAATGTCGGCCTCTCAGCCGTGGTGCAGGAAGCCAGCGGCTCATGGGCTATAGTTTTAGTTTCCTCGGGAGCAAGACGCACTCCTGCGGCTCTCCGGCATTGTTACGTCGTGTTGCTTGGGACGATGTTGCCCGACGTTTCGCTCCACGTGCCGGGGGTTGCTTCAGGAACTGAATTCAGCAGGCGGCACAACCCGAGAAACACGCCGCGTAGCTCGACAGCACGAATGGTGGCTGCCTACACAGAGCTCAATCACACCACACACCCTTGTCTGTTTACCCGTCAATTTATTAACACCCATGGATACCACAACAGCGGTTGCCTTATTATGTGTATCAACGCACCCCTGCCATAGGAATGTGGAACTTCCACCACTGTCTCGGGGCTGTAAACGGGCGATGAGCACAGCCGTAGAGCCCATACGAGACCTAAAAACAAACTTTGATCATTTTGTCACACCTAAAAAAAAATGGCCCGTTGCATAATTTCGTCATTTGGTTTGTGATTGCGCGTGTGCGTGCGTGCGGACAGCCGACGGTGCGGCTGGTGGTGAACCTCTCGCGCACGCAGAAGGAGTTCCTGCGCGTGAGCCGGCGCGTGCCGCTGCGCGTGCTGCTGCCGGCTATCGCGGCCAAGAGCGGCCTGGAGCCGCGCTCGCTGCTGCTGTTCCGCGACGCGACGCAGGCCGAGCGCGTCGACCTCGCGTGCTCGCTCGCCGAGCTCGGCATCCGCGAGCTCTACGTCGTCGACACCAGCAAGGGTGAGAGAGGCCCGCGCGCCCCTTGACCCCCTGACCCCCGCCGCCGCCACGACCTCCTCCTCCTATCGCGGTGTTATCGGGGGGCTGCGGATCGAGCTCGTGAGCCGTAATCCCGATTATTCAGTCAACTGTTTGCTCGCCCGATTCGAGGGCTCGTCCGAATACGCGAGCAATCAGAGGGCACGGCGTTCGCTGGGAAAAAAGCCTCTCGCCTCTGTGCCGCTGGACGGGAGGTGACGGACGGGGCTTTGGTGGCGTCATCAGCATCATCAGCCGCGTTACTGTGGCCGTGGCTCGTCGAGAGGGTTTCCAGACTTCGGGAGGCAGGATGTGGGGAGCGGCCGCCATTTTAAAAGAGGCCAGATTAATCTACCATAAAAAAAGTAGTTGCTTTAACTTTTAATTCAATTAGTCTACCGAATCGACGAATGTTCCCAAAATAAACACAAATCTTGGATATATATCGACATCCATGAGTTTCATCATCGATTAAAAATATTTTTTTCTGAACTCTTTGAGCGTGGCATTGAGCGTGGCAGTGTGTTGTTGGATAGCTCCTGCCTGGATCACCAGCCAAACCAAGTAATATTTGTGAAATGAACCACACCCTGCAGATGAGATACAGAATAGTACATACTAGTCGAGGTTTTGTCATTTGGCCAAAAGACACATTGCCCGATGTACGTAATTGTAATGTTATTCAGTGATAAAATAGACACACGCGGCTTAAATATTTATGTATTTTATAATAATATTTTTTTATTTGTTTACTTGGGAAAGGAAAGGCACACCGAGTCCCAAGCTTCTCTTCATTGGGTATATTTGGCCGGCTCCGTGTTCCAGGATTTATTTTGAGTGTGGGAGGAAACCAGAGTGCCCGGAGAATTCTCAACGCCAAGCTGCACGCACACGGGTCACCACACTCGGGGAAGGTTTTTCTGCGCTCGTTTTTGCGAAAAAAATTGTAAAATAAATGTAATGCTTGTTTATCTGTACTTATTTACACTTCTTATTTACACCCCACTCCCGCCTACCCCTCCCCCATTCAAACAAGCGCTCATCTCTGCACGTTGGTATATTTGAGTTTTTCATTGAAATTCCAGATTTCTATGGCAGGATCCATCCTCTCCATAGCGAGGTCGACAGTAACCCATTCATCCGCGTGGTGCAATAGTTTACACACCCGCGCTACGAACCTGCCCACCTGAGTTCGAGTCCTGGCCATGGTATCACCAACCCGTGGTGACGTATGGTCAAACAATCCCCTTGTACCGACATGGCGTGGGGAAGGCCTCCATCCAGCAGTGAATTGACAAGGGCGCTGTACGTTGCGTTCATTTACCCCTTTATTTAGATCAAACCCAGGAAGGATGCGTGACTGATTGGGAACCTTTCCGAGAATCGAACTCGTGGTTATTTCCTTGTGAGTGAAGCACAGGTTACAGTCAAACGCACCGATATCTGTTGCACGTCCATCATGAACGGCCACGCTTTTTGAAATACTCTTTACCTGCATTTTAAGTTCTCATACGCAGCATATGTTAAAACAGTGATAACTATGACACCGCCTGGCCAGATATCGCTGTTCGGCCGGTCACAGTGTGGTCGATGATTGATGAACGATGGCACGGGTGACAAGAGGCCCTCCAGGATGTAGGAATTGACACCGGCAGTGTCAGTGGCGTCAAGCTCTCTACTTCTTCTTCTTGTTCTGTGTGTTGACAGCGACCGCGCGATGCCATCCCATCGTGCATGGCTCCCACACCTACCCAGGTAGGGACCCCACCCACACCTGAACCTCGCACTGCCGCGATGTCTCTAGCATCGGCCCACGCACCTTGGGTGCCGGGAACCAGACCGCAGAAAAGAGAGATGCGCAGAAACGTAGCGAGCCACGAAGAGAGACGAACAAGGAACATTGGTGAAAAAAAATAGACTGACAGAAACATTGCCACAGAGAGAGAAGGGAATCGAGGTAGACACAGATAGACGCAGAAACATAGCGGCATACAAATAATAAATACACAGACGCAGAAAAAATTACACAAACAGTAACATAGTGACACAGCGGGACAGGTATGGAAAAGGACACGATTAGAGATAGACAGATACAGAATGAGAGAAACGCAAATACACATAGAAACACACAGAGGTAGAGACACACAGAGAGAGAAAGAAACAGAAACAGAGATATACACAAGACAAAAAGAGACACGCAGGGGAGAGAGAGACACATAGGGGGAGACATAGTGAGGGGGACAAACATAATCACAGAGACAAGAGACACACGCAGATTGAGTTCACCGTAACTTGCAACCCCGGCTGACAATCCCTCGGGACCGCCCAGGGTACCGCGTGTACCAACCGGGCCCTGTCAGCGAAAACAACGATCCTCTGACCAGTGGCCATGCATGTGTTGGACAGGGGCCCGCAGACAACCACCGCCCCCTCCTGGAGTCACAGAGCATGCTGGGAAGGAAAACGCGGGCATCTTCAGCTGCCTTCGGCCCCGAAAGAAAAAAATGGTGAGTCTATCACACGTTGTTGATTTGTTTTCCATTTTATGAAATACTGAGAGTGGTATGAACAAATGTGCAGCGGCTAGCGCGACCCGAGTTCGTTTTCCGCTCACGGCAACCACCAGTGGCGATTATCTGAAACGGTTCCAGGCCTCCCCTAGGTCGACTCAACCTCAAATTAGTACCTGGAGCGATGTGTAAACATCGTCACTGGGGAGACAAAGGCGGCCAGGCGTGGTGCTGGCCACCCACCCCATCGTATGCCGTGCTGGGGTTCATAGGTGCTCGCTAACAGCACTTGCCCCAACAGCGTGTTGAGGCTATATCGGGGATCTGTGTCTTTGCTACGAACAATTCTCATACTAATTGTATGTAATTGCCTAATTTGGCTGTGATTGTTCTCTACATTATCAGTAAGTGATCTGAAATGATAATAATTGGCGCGTTAAACGCTTGTACACCAATGCAACAATTACAATTGTTGGTTTATGTCGGGTGGGACATAAATGTGGCCCAAGTAGAAAATCAATTATGAATCCTAACATTGGCTGCGAAAAAAACCTGCGCACGAGGAGCATTACGGCACACCGCACGATGAACCCCGACAACCTTGGTTCGATTACCGGCCAGGGGCTCACATCAGCGGCGAGTGACATCGTAACCGGTCCTTGGCCTCCGCTAATTCACCAACTCAAATTGACCGGCGTGGTGAAGTATGTTTAGACAGCCTCCGTGATTGGCAAGGCGTGGATGGGCTCTCATCCAGCAGTGGTTTTATAGAGTGCTGTAGATTCTAGAGCAGCGTTATCCATTGCAGGGCCACTGGTGGTCTTTAGTGCGGCCCCCCCGACAATACGGAACACGTGACAACACACCCTTGCCGGCGGCGTGGCGGCTCTCACACTGACGACGTCTTGTGGTCAAAAGTGTCGCTCCCTCCTCGGCTTACGAGGGTTCGCTTCTGTCCGGATGACGTGTCACAGTTCGTGGGGGTCGAGGTTCAAGTCTCTAAGAAGTTACGTTTTTGTCACTAGTTTCTACAGGAGCTCTTGCAGCTCAATTGCATAATGTAAAAAACAACTACACGCAATATGTAAACCAATTACATACAACGTATGCCAATCAAAAAGACCACAATCGATTCTCGCGAGCACGATTCGATGCCTGCTGCGTGAGGTTAATCTCTTGAGTTCTCTCCTGGTTAAACAAAATCGACTTGACTTTAACTAACGAATCATTAACTCGGATACTGGACACCACACAGATTCCACTCTAACATCCATTTCCGAATCGAATCTTGAAATCCGCGGCACTCACGGCAAGGGTGAACCTGCGACATCTCACCGGTGGCATCGGCAGCGCCGTGCAGTCACGTTCCGCGAGATCGCGGCCTCGCCCCGACGAAACTTGCGCGTCCCGCGTCTTTGACGTCGTCGCCGCTGCTGCCGCCCGCAGGTTCACCACTCGGTGCCGGCGTCTCCAGCCCCGGTCCTCGCCGCCGCCGCGGCCCCCAGGAGACGATCGCTCGAGTCGGACGCCCCCAAGAAGCGGCGCGCGCCGGCGCCGCCCCTGGTCGCCGCCACTCTGCCTCGCGCCGCCTCCTCCGCTCGGCCCCGCGCGGCGCCGGCTCGGCCCGAGCGGCCGCGCAGCCGCTCGCTCCCGGGGGCCGATTCCGTGGCGCCCGAGGCGAGCGGCGACGGCGGCGCCGACGGCGGCGGCGCCAAGAAGAAAAAGAGGGCGGCCCCGCAGCCCCAGGGGCAGCCAAAGGAGCGGCCGCAGGTGCTGCCTCAGGTTCAGGAGCAGCCTCAGGTGCAGGTGCAGCCACAGGAGCAGCCTCAGGAGCAGCCTCAGGTGCAGCCTCAGGTTCAGGTGCAGGTGCAGCCACAGGAGCAGCCTCAGGTGCAGCCAAAAGTTCACGAGCAGCCTCAGGTGCAGGTGCTGCCAACGGTGCAGCCTAAGGGGCAGCCAAAGCCACAGGGCCAGCCTCAATCACAGGATCAATGTCACGGGCAGCCGAAGGGGCGTGCTCACCCTCGGACGCAGCTGGTGATCGTCAGCGGCTTGGAGGTGACGGTCATCAAGGACTCGCACCCGGAGAAGCGCGGCCGCTGCGACGGCGAGGCGTGCGGCGAGGCGGACGAGCGACGGCGGTGCAAGGAGGGCGACCGCGGCGATAACGAGCAAGCGCAGAAGACGGAGTGCGGCCACGGGGAGCGCGCGGCGGGCGGCGGAGATGATGACGCCGGTCCGCAGGCGGACGGTGGTGCCGGGGCCGGAGGGGATGCGGCGCCAGTGAGGGTGGTACCGGTGAGGGTCGTGCCGAGTTCACCGGAGAAAGGGACCGGCCACACGGTGACCTGGGCGGACGTGAAGGTGGCGGAGGCCGTTGCGGCGTTGCCGTACATCGACAGCGGCTACGAGCAGGTTCGTGTGGCGACAACAACATCGGTTTCTCTCTCGCCAATCAGCCATGATCGATCCGCCGGTGGATGTAGCCCCTCCTCCCCATGGTGTGTCAGTCAGGGGGGCTGTTTGGTCATACTTCCTCATTCTGGACTATTGGTTGGTGGAGGCTAACAGCCAGTTCAGACGTCGCTCGCCACTGATTTCAGCCGTGGCCAGGAATTGTATTTCAGTTGCCGGGTCCATAGCGCGGCGCGCACACCACCCGCTCCACCCTGCACACTCTGCAGACATTGACCGTCTCTTCACTGACTTCTGATGTATTTAATGAAATAGAAAAAACAACGTGTGGTTTATTTTATAGCGATTTCTTTTCGAGGTCCAACGATTACAAAGGAGAGGTTCAAAGTGGTGGAAGGGAGCTCTGAGATTTACTCAATTCCGACGGAGAAGCAAGTAAATCTGAGACAGCGTCTGTGATACTACTCCACTCCACGATTCTCTACAATGCCCGAGTAAGCCAAGGAGCAGAGCCGGCCCTAGACCTTTGGGGGCCCTAAGCAAAATTTGGTTGGAGGCCCCTTTGATGTATGATTTTTTTCACCCACTAGCTAGCAGTGACTCTAGGGGGCCCTCTGCTGGCCACGCGGCCCTTTGCAATTGCAAGGGTCGCTTAGTGGCTGGGCCGGCTCTGCCAAGGAGGTCCACGGTTGTGAATTGACAGGAAGTGACATCCCAAACCAACAACAACTCTAAATTTGTAACAGTTGCGCGTCTAAAAGTCTGGTGATTTAAGATTGATATACGTGTGTATATGATTGTACACGTTAGGCTATTCGAAAGAACAAGACAGAGCAAAAAAGACGAAACATGCGAGAAAAATAACACGAACAAGGTAGCACCGAAAAAGACATGAGAATAGCATTTTATAAATGGAATTGTGACCCCAAATCATGACCATTTATCACCTTGCCGAGGCGGTGAGTCGATAAATGCCGCATCTTTTCCTGGGCTTCACTCCGCACGGGCTTTGTTTGCTGTGATCAGGATGGTGTCGGTGAGAGGCAAGGGGGGTCTGGACGATGTTTGGGTGATGTCCGCTCTCTCCCCTTTTTAAATCCTTTATATTAAGTTCGCTTGCGTGCTTGCTTGCTTGCTTACGACCGTGCAAAAATTTCGGTCGTTTTTTAACCCACTTCCCGTGATCCAATCGAGCTGACATTTTGCACACAGACTAGTTGTGCAAGACAATTAATGTTCGTGAAATTTTTTTTCCAAAATTTTACACTGTTTAGGGAAAACAAATGAAATATTTAATTACCAATTGTTTAATACTGCAGACAATCATCTGACCCATAGGTGGCAGCCATCTCAAGCCAGAGGACGAGAGGACTCGAGCCGCCACGCATATAAAGGATTTAGAGTGAAAAACTTTGTTTTTACGGGTTAATTTTTTAAACCGTCCAAGAAGGGAAAAACGTGAATTCATTAAACACTGCCGCACGGCTCCCACCAGCAGGTGGAGACACAACCTCGTGTGTGGGACGACTGCTCGCCTTCAAGAGTCCCAAGCATTTAGAACATGCAGCGGCAAGGCTTGGACACATTTACCCCCAGAGATTTGAGGAATGATTGCAATTTGGGTCCACGATTCAAGGATGGGTAGGCGTCTAGCAGCTTATCCCCACAGATAGTTGATGAATCATCGCAATATGGGTTCACGATTCGTTTAAAAGATGGGTTATTGTTTTGTTTGTATTATTTAGATCGTGTGTTTTTACATAATAGCGCTGTAGTACGTTAGCGTTAAATTCGCATACGGTTTTCATTTATTGTAACCGATTCTTTGACGGCAATATTATGCACGTATTGTGACCACCAGAATTAATGACTCTACAACTCATTACATTCCGTTTGAAAGGACGTGTGATTATCATGATATACTATACAGAGTTTTACTGGCTGTGTGCGTGCCTGCATGGCCTTCACGTCTGGAGCGACGGAGTTTAATTTAAAATAATTATCTCATACGGATATATTCACGTTTGAATTTACTGTACAGTACTTCAGTCAAATCTCACAATTCTCACACACTCCATGCAACGCGTGTACCCAGAACGGAAAAGTCATGGGTTTTTGTTGTTAAATCGATTGATGGAGCCTCATCGTTCACAGAGGTGCAAGGCAGTTCCGCATGCAGCCAGAGTGAGGCGCACCTTAGCAAGACGACAATCAGCTGTTGCGTTAGGGCGTTATTATAGTTGCGTTTAAATACGTGTACACACAAAACAATATATCCTGTGAAACAAGATCTCAAAATATTTCTAAAGGTAATTAAAAAATCGTAAGTGCGTTGCAGTAGATTTGTCGCGGTTAGCGCAGCCCATCATCTTCTTTACTCGGTCAATAAAATCCGTAACCATTTGATGGAATATCAACAGGAGTTGTGCTGAACAATATTATCCATTGTGAAACTGGCTCGCATCGTGTGACTGTGGCATTCACAGCCTAGATCACCCGCGGCAATGAGCACTGCTGCACATTTGTATTTTATTTTCTGTCTCTCTGTCCCCATGTCTTTTTGTCAATCTGACTAACTCCCCGTCTTTTTATCTTTCTGCCTATCCTGCCTGACTACTCGTGGTCTATCTTAGTATGTGCGACTGTTCATCTGCCTGTCTGCCTCTATGTGTGCTTGTCTCTTTCTGTTCACCTGTTTGTTTGGCTGTCTATCTGCCTGTCTGCCTGTCTGCCTCTATGTGTGCTTGTCTCTCTCTCTGTTCACCTGTCTGTTTGTCTGTCTATCTGTCTGTCTGCCTGTCTTTGCGACTCTCTGTCTGTCGGTTAACTCACCTGCCTACCTATTTGTTTACCTTCTCTCGCCGCCTCTCAGTTTTGCCAGTCTCTCTCTCTCCCCCCTGCCCCTGCCTTTCTGTTTGCCTGTGTCTGCCTGCTGTCGTGTTCACCTGTGCGCTCTCCGCTGCAGGAGGAGCTGAGCGAGGCTTTCCCCAGCATCTCGGCTCACGGCCCGGCCCTGGAGGACGGCGAGACGGGAGGGGGGCGGCGGGCGGCGGGAGCACCCGCGGGGCCAGCAGCGTCCCCCTCCTCGCCACCCAGCGAGGGGCGGCCCCCACGCCAGGTGAGGCCACGGGTCACCCCCTCCCTGCTTCCCTCCCCCCCTCCACCGTTTTATAGTTCATTTGTTAAAGGGGGAGGGGGAGCTATTGCACAAAATTGTCTCACCGTGCTGGACAACCAAATGATATAACTTAGTTATCGTGTGCTGCGGATTGTACGTCGCACAGTTATTCCTGTATTATAAAGCCAGAGTTGGGGGTGCGTCGTAGAATCCGATTGCTGTGTTTGTGATTTGTATAATTGTATTCACGCTGGGCACACGCTGTTTGGGGTATGTCTTTAGTTGGCGGAGTATCTAATGATCTGGAAAAGATGGTAAAAATGTTTTTAAAATAATATTCTTTGTTAATTATTTTTAATTCACCACTATATCCCAATTGCGCTATCGTCTTCACGCTGTTGAGACGAACACATTCCAGCTAGCAGTGCATCACCCTGTGTCAGAGAACGGCTCCAGGTGGTGATGCCGCTGAACCGCTGCAGTCGGCTTCTCTCGCCACGCTGTTGTCACGCCATTGTACATGCCGTGCAGTGGTCATCACATGTCCATGAAACAAACCGTTTCTAGTCTCAGAGATAGAATTTAACATGATGGGATTTTATGTGCAGCGATTAGCAAGTAGATTGAGACCATGGGCTGACTACACTTGAGAACGCAGTATAGTCCACTGGTTGCTGGGACTCGGACTCAATCCCAGGCTCTCAGTGGTGCTGGTTCACTGCACCGAACCGTAACCCACAGGGTGGCCTCTCATTAAAAATAACCGTTGTGTTCAAAGTCTAAGTGATTGCACTCGAAATTAGTTTGAGACTCATCTCCGATTTACAGCCCTGAGTCAGTCGTGGAGATTCCGCGTCCTGACTGTGGAGACTAGTCTGCTCTTAATTAGCAGCAGAAACACGAACGACTGAGTTTGATCTCCGATGTGCATTCACAACCTTCCGATTGTCAGTCGCGTGCTCTGCCCACTTCCCAACGCGGCCAGCACTCGTCTCGATATGTCACGCGCACCAACCGCAAGGCCTAACCTGTGCGTCACGACGACCAGCATTTATCGCCGGTGAATGTTCGGTGAGAGCGAACGGCGATCGGTTTAATATGTCGCGGTGAAAGTTGGCGAATATTGATTCGCCGGGGTCCACGTGCGGCCGCGATTTCGGCCGTCTCCTCCTCCGCGCAGCGGCTGCTTTAGCGCCGCTCTGCTAAGCGCGGGCCCGCTGGGGCCGGCGGGGGCCGCGGAAGGAGCGACGGGGCGAAGGGTTTTTCTGCGGGCGGTCAATGGGTAACGATTAGCTCCTCGGATTTTGAAGGTTGGTGAAGTGGGATCAACAATTCCTGCCGATTGTCCCCCATTGCATCTCTGCACGCTCTCGAGCTCGGGGTGCATTTCACGCGGCTGCTTCTGCGAGAGCGGTTGCGTCAGACGGGAGCGTCTAGTTGGGCAGGTGCGTGGGATGGCTCTCGACGTGCTCATCGGAACACGCCCACCACGTGCAAATAATAATTGCGTCGTTACAGCGCCGGCTCCCACACACGTGCGCACGCGCACGCATTCTCAGAATCCCATTGTGACCTCCGACCTGAAGCACTGACGCACGCATTCTGATTAGTGTGTTATGGCACACAATGTCTTTTGGGAAAGGAGTTCCAATTCGGCCTGATTGATGTTCATATCAGGAACGGAGAGACACGTTTAGGTTTGTTTGTAATGTCTAAGCAGACGATGAGCCACGGTCAGTTAATTCCGTCGTTTAGCTTCAAGATTTGTTTTTCACCGTCATCGTCATCATCGCCATCATCATTTATTATTCATACCGCGCCTCCCTTACGGCGCATCTCAAGGCGTCTAAACAAAGTGGTGTTTGAGATAATTACTCAGCAAGGAAGCGATTGCAGACCAAATACAACGTTCAAAAAACTCCACAGTATAGACAATCTAATAATCATACTAATCTTTTATAATGCACCGTTGACATCCAGATGTCTCAAAGTGCTGTAGATAAAAAAGTATATATACTTACAAGTACAGATACAATTATATCGAAACAGTGAAAGCTGATAATAATGATAATAATAAACATGCCAATAAAATAAAGAACAAACAAAAAACAAAAAAATTATCACGCTCACAGCGGAGGTAAAATCCACACGGCAAACGAGAAAAATCAAACTTGAAGAGCTGAACTGTGCGTCGGTTCATTCTTTGTAGGATCACCGTTGATAATGCTGGTGATGTTTTTTGGTGACTCACACGACGGCGCAATTTACGATGGGATTCTCTTGTGAATGTGGCTCAAGAAGAACGCGTTTGGTCATTGCGCGTCACCTGCTGTGGCACATTGGCGAGGAATGTGGACGCTGGCAGCACCGAGGGAACAAAAAACCGAACGGTGCGTAAATACGCGCGGGAGGGGTGCACACTTGCAATCTCGTCTGAGAGGTAGTGGGACACATTGGCCAGAACAATACACAAGCCTGGCACATCGCGGCTACTGTGAGGGAACGTGCGTGCGTTCGCGTAGGGCACATCGCAGGAAGGGACGGTGGGCGGTGGTCGAGACTAATTACAGAGCGGCAGCCAACGGAGGGAACGTCCACCCTGCAGGAGCTGCCCTTATCCCTCACGGTCCATCGGTGTAATCATCCATCTCGTGTGCAGGAGCTCGACGGATTCTAACATTGATGGGCCACGAGTTGTCGTTGCGGTTCGTTTTGGGAATGCCTTAATCTGGCAGTGGCTCGATCGCGATTTTGATGATAAGAACGGATGATGCTATTTTCTAAAAAAGATCCACGAGGCATTTGCGGAATGGGAACGCGGGCACGCCGATCAAGTTTCACGTCGTCGTCTGCTTCGGCACAACATCGTAGATCCCCCTGTCCACAGTGAGCCATGCGAACGTCGCATTCTGCGATCCCGGCAATGTGCAGCGTGTATAGCGTCTCCATTAGCGGCCGCCGGGTGCTTTCTCGCGGCTGCGCTGAGGCACATTAGTTCAACGTCCTGACCGCCCTTACGTGTAGTGTTACCGGTTCACAAATCAACATCGTCCGTTTGGCAAGTGGTGCACAATACGAACAGCGATGATGATAGTCATGCAAGTAATGCCCTTAGTTCTATCCAGGAAAGCCTCATTGAGTCACATAATTGATTTTCAGGAGGGATATTTGAGGATGTTCAACCAGTTCCATGTATGCGTGTTTGGCGTGTGAGAAGAAATCAGAGTAACAGGATTAATCTTATGCACACAAGGGGATAATACTCAAAGCTCCACACAGATGGATTTCAAGAACGCGCTTGCTGTACTATGGAGTAGTGGTGCAGTGGTTGGTGCACAGTGCTCTCGACCTGGTCACTCCAGTTTGATTGCTAGCCAAATATCTGCCAGAATTCAGATCCTAATAAACATGAAATAATAAATAACCATGAAAATCTATTAATGTTTCTAATCACGATCTTGCCTCCAGTTCATCCCACTTACATCTCTGCCTCTTGTACAGATCTCTCTCATCCCACTTACATCTCTCACTTGGCATTTTTAAGATGAACGAGAAGGCCCCTCCCCGAAGAAAATTATTTCTTTTGGCGTCATCTGGTCCAACCCATGTGAGACTAGGCTCTAAGGAAAGCTGTCTCGGGTGTGGACCAATCAACTTCAAGGACAGTGCATACATTATCAGAGTTATGTTTTTTGTTTGCATTATGACTGCAGGTATTGTGGTCTATGCAAACATGACTCCTCGTAAAAAAGGTGTCAGTTTTGTTGCCAGATAGAAGGGTAAAAAAAACAGTCATCTCTGCTGCTGATGCCATCGCTGCTGCTGCTGCTGCTTCTGCTGCTTCTGCTGCCGCTGAGGAAGAACGCGCTGTGCCCCGTGGCACGTCAGCGCCGCCGAGGGCTCGCCAGATGGCTCGCGGAGATGCACCGATCGGGGCGCGTTACGCAAGTGGCAACAGAACCGAGAGTGTCACAGCGTCGTGCCCCCCCCCCCCGCCCCCATTGCTCCGTGCGCACCCTCCGCCCCGCCCCCCCCCCCGCGTCCATGAGCGGTCGCCTCGCTCGTTAGCGACAGGGCGACAACAACTAACGAACCGGGGCACCTGTAAAGAACTGCATTGTGGGTTTATTTTAATGATGGTGTTCTTATTATTAGTAACGTTATTATTTTTTATACCTAAGAGAACATTTTCTTTTGCAAGTGTCGGTGGTCAATATGGCGCAAGTCTTTGTGAGCTTGCAAAATGTCAACAAAACTGGGACAAGAAGTATACTGATGTGATGATGATTATCATTCATTTTGCAGAGATATAATGGTACTAAGTTTTCTGAGGGTTCCTTTGGAAATCAAGCAACCTCTGTGCATATCATGACAAGATAGATTTTGTATGATACCAACATGTGTTACCAGTGGAACCATAACATTAAGCACAAATATAAAATATGGAAATGGATTAAAAGCTCAAAAGTGCACAAAGAAGCATGGCGAGGTGCGTGCTTGGATTAAACTTCGAGACCAAAAAGAGCAACACGTGGATCACAGAACACACAGACTCAAGGTGAACATCATATTGACCATTCGGAATAGCACGTGAGTCTCCGCAGAACACATCGCTGGAAGGGGACGTGGGCCGGTGGAGCTGCGGCCAAAGGAGTGACCTACTCAAGTTTCAAGTTTATTTATTAGGTATAGCCCTCTTCTTGGTTCTTTCGGTAAAGTCACGTAGAAGGGAAGTAATAAAATAATAAAAAAATAAAACATAATAAAATAAAATAATTCTCACGACGTTTCGGCTACAACGCAAGCAGCCGTCTTCAGGTGAAGACGTCTTCAGGTGAAGACGGCTGCTTGCGTTGTAGCCGAAACGTCGTGAGAATTATTTTATTTTATTATGTTTTATTTTTTTATTATTTTATTACTTCCCTTCTACGTGACTTTACCGAAAGAACCAAGAAGATGAATCCCTGCAGTCACGAAAGCTTTAAATCGAGGTATAGCCCTGTGAGCCATTCGGCTCTTGAATCGGGTGCAACCGCAACAAACAAAAAAACAAAAACATGAACAAGAAAACATCTGAAAGTGACTATGTGCAAACAGAAAATCCAAGAAAAGACAGCAAAATATTGCAGAAAAAGCACCGTACACCAACGCTGTGTGCAAAAATCCCATTGGGATGCATATCAAACAACAACAACCACAAGACAACTTAGATTAAGGCCATCAGTCTAACTCTGTACTACAACAAACAAACATGGCCAAACCGAAAACACTTTTCAAAAATCACCAAAATAAAGCCATAAAAGCAATGAAACAGTGATCATACGAACTGTGACCTAATTTTCACAATAAACGACGTAAACAACATGTATTACCAAACTCATGCAGACATAGCTGGCTGCATGAGTCACTGCACGCCCACTGTGGAGATGGAGCGTTGGCATCAGCTCTCTCGTGCAGGAGCCAGAGAGATCGTTTCATCTCAAGACCAAGACGCGTGGCCACGGCTTTGGGGAGACCTCCATCAAGCAGTGGATAGGTGATGGCGGTGATGGGAAATGCAATTCCACGGTGCCTCAATTGATTTTCTGAAAGCCTGTGTGTTCAAACTACCATGAGGTCATGTTTGGTTTGTGGATAGTCCCACGTCAGTGCTGTTGTGACTGAAACCTACACTAGAACCGGACAATTCCACTTCTTGCCGTGTCACCACCTGTGAACAAGCGCACGTGCTCGTTGACTCGTGTTGCGTCATCTCCCCCTACCCTGTCTGCGCGCGTGGGGGGATGAGGGGTGACGCGCTACAAACCCGGTGACCTCTCCGTGTTCGATTCCCGGTCACGCACGGACGTAGACTCATCGGTGAAGCGGTGTCTGGACCCGTCCTGAGCCTCCTCAAGATTGACTCAGCCTTAAATGTGTACCTGTTGCAGCGTTTAAATATCAGCACTGGGGAGACAAAGGTGGCCGGGTGTGGCACTGGCCACATCGCCCATTGTGCTCACCAACAGGATTTCCCCCCGTCGGTCTGCGTGGTTTCACGAGGGATCTCGGTGCCCGTGTGTGTGTGCGTGTGTGAGAATTCGCGCACTTGAGCCGCGTGTCCAGTGTTTGTTGTTGGGTTTAACGGCACAACAGCGGCTTTGAGTCTCGCTGAGTTCATCACGGAGCCCACGCTCGACAGCGAGCACGAGTGGCTGAGTAATTTGCTGTTTTCTTTGTGAGTAAAATAACCACGTCGAGTGAGTACACGGACGATTTTCCAGGAATGAAATTAAATTATAATAACAACAACAATAGCCGCTTCCGATGTTCATCGCACTCGAGGGGCAGCGACGTGGCCGAGTGGTGGCACTTGTTGCAGGGAGTTGCGGTTCGAGCCCCCTGCGGCCGCCCTGGTCAATACGCCGGTGGGTGCATCGACCGGACAATGTTTACGTGCCGTCTGCTCCACAGCGGCCGTGAACGACATCTGCAGCGTCATTCGGAAAACGGGCTTCCCACGTTTTTCGGAGTCGCCCTCCAAATTTGTCAACGTATAAAATACCTCTCTAATTGCTCAATTGGGTTAAACCGCAGGGCAACTTTGCCCCCTACTGTGAAACTACTGCGCGCGATAATTGTCTGTGAAACATTATCCACCTCGTCATAACCTCGCCCCGCCCAGTGGATTATACGTGCCAAGAAATAAGACGCAAGTGCCTTATCTTGACGTGCAGAGTTGCAGCAGAGGGAGGGGGCAGAGAGGGCAATGAGAGAATGACATGGGCCAACACTTCAGTGTGCTGGTGATGTTTCTATTACTCTGCGGCATCACCGTAATTGAGTGTTTCTCTGCAGGTCTTCGACATCAATCAAGCGAGCTGAAAGTTGGCGATGGCGAGCATGGCGAGAGTGATGTTCCTGAAGAGAGAAGCCCCGGTGCCCGTGGACGGTTGCAGCCATCACTCTCTCCTCACCTTTTCCCCCATCTTTATTTCACATTAAGTCGTGACGTGACATTTCATCGCGATGATTAGCAGCGGGTACCCGCGTGCGACTGTCCTTTTCAGCCGCTGACAGCTTCATCGCATATAGACGCGTCCGTGCGTTCGGGGCGCACAAGCTCATTCACGTGTATATCTTTTCGTGAAGCTTTTCGTTGTTATTTTTTTTATTTAATGGGCATACAGCTACATAACCAAAGAAGCTTAAGCCATTTACTGAGCACAGTTGTGTAAATGACACTGTACGGTATTGTCAGGAATCGTCCCTGAGGCTCGCACTGCGGGCGTGTAGGTGTAGGGTTGTGGTCTACGGGCCGCCCCCGCGTGTTTTCGGGTTGTCCGACGTTTCGCCCCGGTGAGTCGCATCCTGCTGGGAGCTTGCCAATTCGGTATCGTAAAGAAGCTGCCGGCGCTGGGAATCTAAACGGCGCATGTCAAGCCGAGCAGGGCACGGCACGAGCCGGTGCATGAGCCAGTCCGGCGGGTGACTATGAGAATATGAAATGGTGTTAGGATCCTGTGGAATTCCTTCAGGATTTCTATTTTGACATTTCGTATAGAACCCAACGTTGCTTTGGGTTTTTTTAAAGGGATATCTGATGTTTTATTCATTGATGATAATGACTGCAACTTTACATTTCTATATAGTTATATATATTAGTTTGCATGTAAGATTACATTTTTAGAGCAAACATAGGCATATCTTATGCTTCGAGTGGGTGCTGCAGTTAGAATACAAGCCCCGGCTAACATCAGTGGCGAGTGATCTCTGAAACCGGTTCCGGGCCCTCCCCTTTCACCAACCCACAGTGACCAGCGTGGTGAAGTATGGTCAAACAACCCCCATGACCGACACGGCAAGTGGATTGGCACAAGGACTGAAAAGTATTATTATATCATGATTACTCGGCATATCTTATAGAATTGCATCTGCTGTCCTTTTTAGCTTTGCTTTGCTTAATAAATTGCAGTATAGACATTTTCATTTAGTCGATGCAGAACCCAAAAAAAATGTAAGCATTGCCTGTGATCGCTGTACAAAAAGCGTACGGAATTTGTGGAAGTGGTGCCGGTGAATGCAGTTGACTCGGCATTTACAACGCCCTACACGGCCGCGCGCGCGCGCGTGTGTGTGTTCCCCTGCTCGCTGGCAGCCTCAACAGAGCCCCTTTGATTCCCCTCCGTGACAAGGGCAGAGCTGGAATTTTATTGTACCCCCCCCCCCGCTCGCCACCCCGTGGAACAAAAGGCGTGGATTTTACATTTAAATGTCAGGCCACTTCCACCGCAGACGAGGCCCCTGTGAGACGTCGCAACGCCTGAGCGTTTTTTTTTATTTCTAATGAAAATCTAACTTTTTTATTTCTAATGAAAATCTAACTTTTTTATTTCTAATGAAAATCTAACTTTTTTACGATCTCGTTTTCCCTTTAGCAAGGAATTGGAAAATATTTCTCAATTGTTTTTCATTTTCAAAACAAAAAGAGAAAGCCAAACTTTTAACCCGACTCAAAAAATGCAATAAAGTTAAATGTGTGCGGGATGTGAAGATACATTATATGTAATACCGCAGGTTTTTGTTGTGCAAGAACCATGTCACGTTGTCCCGTGACAAAACATCCACAATTCTGGAAAATGTTTAACGTTAAACGGTGCTAAGGGTTTCTAAGAATTTCCATTTGTAAACATTTAGACGCTCCTTTCGGCTTATGAAATCAATGAGGACAAATTGTAAAATGTCTGTAAATGTTTGCACACTCGCAAAGCTGTTTGCGCAATTGTGTCGCGGGAAGGAAGAAAAAGAGACGACCTCAGTTTACGTAAAAAGTTACCAGGTAGATGTTTTTTTTCAAGACAGCAACGGGGTGTTTCCAACTGGCCTGGTTGCTGGTGACGTATCTAAAATAGACAAACCCCGTTTCTCAGGCGGGGGGGGGGGGGCGGAGGAGCTGTTATTTTGGCTGCCCTCACCGAAAGGCCATGTGGGACAAGTGAAGAAAACGAACAATCCTTGGGAAGGCACATCCCGTCCCCCGCGCGCTCGCGAAGGGAGCCATGGCGCAGCGTGCCCGGTCGGGCCACGTTGTGCCGACGCCGTGGCCAGAATTGCCACCCAACTCACCTGGCAGCTTTTGGCATCGTTCCCACAGGGCTTGCTGGCAACAGCCGTGTTATTCATGCCACGGCGCCTTCCAATGATGACAGGACGTGTGCAAGGAGAAGTGAAATGTTCGTTTTATTCAGAGATGAAACAAAAACAGTTTGTCATTTCTTACCATATAGTTCAAGCGTTTTGTGTCTCCTTATGATCATCATCAAAACCCAGAGGAATGTGTGTAGGCTACAAACAAAATGTTAAGTTCGGAAACGTTTATAGTGAAATACTGTATGGTAACTACGTGCAGCGTGCTGAATATATACACCAATGGTGGCGTCATCTTGACATGCAGAGCATGCTGGGACTTCCTTTTCTGCACTTGCTGTCTGAAAAAAAACCTTTTTGCACGATTACAATTGTCATCATGGTCACAATGTGTGAAGCAAGGCTGCTGTCTACTGCATTTATGCCCCCTTTCTCCCATCCATCCACATATTCACTTGCAAAGATTGGGCCCAAGTCAGGCCTGGTTTTGTAATATTCATCCGCCCAACATCCCTCCACATGTGCCCTCATCCGTGCTCATCTCACGTTTACTCCGCCGTTCTCAGGCACGTAACCCTGAAGTGAAAATTCCTTTGCTTAGAAGCACAAGCCCCACTGACACCGATAATCCCCTACATGCATTGTAACAATCAGCCCGTTCCACGAAGTGGATCTACAGCCCTGGCGATTCGGGCTGACAGATGAACGCCAGGGCAGTTCACGCAAGTCTGTGCCCGATCACTGCGAATGAGCGTGAAGCGTTACGAGCGTGGGAGGCGCTCAGCCAGACTCGGGGGTGAATTTTCTGAAAGTTCCATAAGCGACGATGAACTGTCAGTCGCCGAATGAGCGGAGAGTTTCCAATGATGCAGCCGCCTAGCATGGGCGTGCCGCGTGGGTCTTTTGTACACAGCCAATCCTTGCCTGAACCCAACAACAGATCTCGGCAGGCAGGGCGTGCTCCCTTTTGGCGATGCAACCACGCCGATTGTTCCCCTCCCTCCGACTGCCACTCTTCCCCCGGGCTGCGTCAGAGTGGGCTCGGTGGGGATTGTCTGTAGAAAGTCACCGTCCCTATAGAGGGCTGCTCTCGTATTGGTGTATCCAGCACGTTGTAAAGCAACTGCAACAAGGCGATTGGGGTTTCGCCGCTGTTGTGCCGCACAGATTTCCGATGTGTTTTTGGGTTGTACCGCGCGTCGGTCGGCACGATATGCGACGTTTCTCTGCGCATGCCAGGGCGATTCTTCAGCAACCCAATCGAATAAGCTCCCCCAGCACGTATGTATGTACGTATTGTGGATTGAACTTCTTTCACACCTTACGTAGCCAACCGTGCTAACCAGAGGTGCGGGGGAAGGACAACAAACTAGACACAAAATGCCGTTCTAAAGAAATTAAACGATGAGTCAAACGTAGGACAACATTTCCGAACAAAACGCGATACAACCCAAAAGTTAGTTTGACCACAAGTTCCATCCTACGTTCATGCAAGCACGAGGTATCGTGCTGCGCGATGCAGAGCAACGCTAACAGCAGCTACGAAGCTGAACAGACACACACACCTGTTACAGCTACACCTTCATTTCATTCCTGACCATTTGTAGGTTCAACACGAACCAAAGTCGACTTCACACTGACCATTTTGGTTGTCACTCCCGTTAATGTAGGCTTTGGTCCTACAGTATCCCCCCCCCCCCCCTCGTCCCCACTTGAACCGCACTTGATACAGGAGGATGAGATGTCAAGGTCAGGCCCAGCTGCGCGTGTGTGTTCCCACACTTGATCAATCGGCAGACGGAAGGATGGCGCGGGGCGTGAGTGTTTGTTCTGCAGGCAAGGAGGTCCCTGGGCTTGACTCGCCTGCACACCAAGGAGAAATCTGCCGTACGTACGAATGCCGCAGTTGCTTGAGCCCTGCTTCAAGATAAGGTCAAACGGGCACGCCTGATGACAGTGGCAAATGTTGCGATCTTCCAACTAAATGTCTTTTACCACAGCAGACCTGGGATTTGTTATTTAAATATTGATGATCGTAACACCCGTGACCAGCAGATCACATGGAAAGCGCCTGGCCCGCGTGAGTGATGCGAAACTGAGCAGAGTCGAGGCTTGACATTGCTCGGATGGGCGACCACCTTCCAGACAGAGGTCGTCAGAGGGCTTGTGCGGGGCAATGTGTTGTACTGCACCGACATGCTTCCGTGTCTACCCTCTCCACCCTCACCGACCCGCACTGAGCAGCGTGGTGAAATTCCGTCAAGTAGCCCTCGTGATGAGGACTGCCTCATCCAGCAGCGGATTGACGGAAGGGCTCAATGTGTATAACCACTTAACATCCACATATGATGGTGCAGAGTGTGACCATCAAGCACAAGTCCAGTTGCACAGTTCCTTGCTCGCAGATTGACGCTGATGAGTGTCGTGTGGATCTGTAGCAAGCAAGCAAGCGACATCAACAAGATCGAGGGCGATTGGCAATCACGCGCAGAGCGTGAATAATTGCATTGCGGCGTGGGCTGTAAAAGTCGGGACGAAGGAGCGCCTCCCCTGTGACTCCGAGGCATGCGCACAGCTGTTGCGCCAGAGTCATTTTAGGACATCGGATCTTGGGCAACATAACATTCCTCCAAACGCAGAGATGAGCCCATTCGGCTCTTAAAATCCAGATCTCAATCCCCAGCGGCTCCCCGCCCCCCACCTCGCAACCCCGCATCTCCAGCCTTCCACGCCAACCACTCCGCTCAGTCAGAAAATGCGGAGTGCACGCTGTGGTGGTCTTGATGAACGCAACACGCTGAGCGGTGAGGGTTGTACAAGAAGAGATTTTAGGTTGAGACGAACGATGCCCGGTTTTAAGGCAGTCGCAGAGATGTGGGTATCGGCCGATGAATGGAGAGGAGAGGGAAATGAAGAGGCGAGTTTGACGAAGTAAAGTAGACATATTTCACCTGGGTAATCCTGTTTTACGAAACATTTCGTTTGCCTGGGTGCCCAGGCTGTCCATTGAGGTTCGTTACAAATATGTTTTGTATACGAAACCGAATGTACAGATCGAGAGGAAAGTGAAAATCCCGTTCTCAGCCGATCTCTTCCGTGTGTTGATTAATACTTTCAATTGCACTTTGGAGTGAAGGCATCTCAATTCATGGGGAGACAACTGTTGCGTTTGTCCGCCTGCATCTCATCCAACCAGTGAGATGACCAACGTCAATTACCACCAAATAGTAAAAAAAATCATTTTAGTTTATACGTTTAAATATACTAATTGAAAAAAATATTGGTACCAGTATTAATGTGAAGCAAGTGTTAGTTGCAAATTCACACGAAGACACGGATTCCTGCTCGAGCCGTGTCGACTGTTCACGTGACCATCAATTAAAGCCCGCACGGCACGCAAGCAGGACACCACGTCCAACTCTCATTGTATCGTCCCCAATGCCGATGTTTACCACACTACACTAGGCACTCACTTCAGGCTAAGTCGACCTATGGGAGGCACAGGACAAGTCTGATATAAGGTGCCACTGATGTTAGCCATGGCCGGGAATCGAACGCATGTCGCTGGGTTCGTAGCGCACCGCTCCCCACACACACACAGACAACAACCGCCATTCACCACGAAGAGACGGAGATGCCACCACAGCGCTTGTGTCAGGCTAGGTGCACTTTGAGGCCACGTGAGTGTCAAAGGCTTGCTGGCAGGAGATCACAGGACAGACCCACGTGTTATGGGTTGACTGAATGAGATGGCTGGCTGATACACAACCTGTGCTCCCACTGTGCCAACTTGCTGTTCTGCCCTCTGTTGTTGGAGGGCAATTTCCTCCAAATGCCCAGTAGAGTCCTTCACGAGGCTCTTCCACGGAGGCCTATCTTGACACCGCTGGTAGCAATCGTTTGAAAAGTCCAAATCAGCTCCACATCATCCTGTACCACATCAGCCCATGTCTTCTCTCGCCCCCATCTACCCAGACAAACAGAAGCAGCCCCCGCAGTATCGCCTGCTGGAAGAGCTCACTGATAAGACATGGTCCAGATCTTTTAAAGATCTGTGAGCTCCTCACATAATCCAGTCTCGTTAAATCCGGGATGGATTGAAAGCAGGCCCGCCTGAATGTTTCAAGCAAATACAAAGATCCCCCCTATAGCCTTTAAGCAACTGTTGGGGCAAGTGCTGTTAGCGAGCACATCGCTAATGCACACACATACATACAGACATCCACACTAAATGGATGTGTGCAAGTGAATATTTAACACTATTTAACACTATTCTTTTCTACTCATTTTTTTATGACTGTTTAACACTAGTTAACACTATTCGCTTCTGCTCCGCAAGTGTATTATTACCATCATCATCATTATTACTCTGATGTGTGTGTTTCACGTGGGTTTGTTTCAAACATCTAAGTATGCAAAATGCACAACAGCTATCCGGACGAGTAATTAAGGGATTGTGTATTCAATCAAAAATTCACCGTCGTCGCTGTCAATGCCGTCTCGTAACGGACAAAGGTGTGGGCCTGTGGGGTTGTTTGTGGTGTTGTTTGTGGGCCTGTGGGGTTGTTTGTGGGGCTGTTTGTGGGGTTGTGGGGTTGTTTGCTCAAGCCGGCCCCGAACGGAACTTCTGGACGTTTCCGCGACACCGTGGAGGCGGTGACGTACCCAATGCGTTCTGCCCACAGACACGGAACTCCTGACGCGTGAAACGCTTCACCCCTGAAACAGCCTCAACCGCACTGCATCGCCCGGTAGAATAAAAAAAATGTGCCTTTCAAAAAAAAATCACATCTGCCACGCTCAAGGTGCTACACGTTACAATAATTGTTGTTTGGCAGGTTCTGACCAGGCCGTGTGATGCGTAACACTGCTCCAGTTTAAAATAGCCATTAGTTACGCCGCAATGATCAGCCACGTAAAGTTAACGAACTGTGACTTTGCTGTTAACTTGCTCAAATGTGCCGTGAGCTCACGGACATCGAGATTGAGCCGGGCACAGTGGAGCGCACTTGTGATCCGGCGATTTGAATGCAAGGGTTGGGTGGATCACGTCGAGATTTGTGAGGCTCCCACACTGGCTGGGAGTTGGCAGTACTTTAAGTGGGTTCATGAACTCCATCATGCATCAGTGTTGACTGCTCGTATACACAAGCTGAGTGCTCTTCGTTTCCTGCCATATGCAAAGCATGCCAAATGAAGTTTGGCAAACATCCAAAATGCAGAATCCTCTTGAAGGTCTCGAGACTCGCTGAGATTTTGCTGGATTTATAAATGATATTACTATTATTATATCCAATGCCCGGTGGTG